GATTATCTGAAAGGCTAATGGAATAATCAGAGTGACATGTAAATAAATAGTAATGTGCTACAAACTCAAATACTATATGAACAATATTTAAGTTGGTCTTAGACTAAAGGAGACTGAGTTTGTTATTTGTTGAATTTATCCAACTCCCCAAATTTCTGATGGCATGGTTCACCATTAGAAAGATCAAATGTAATTTGTGAAGTTTTCTACCTGGTAAATTAAGTGTGATAGTCAACAATTTGTGGCGGTCGTAGTTCCTTAATGCGTACATGTAAAATGATGTTCTAAATTAGTTTCTTTGGCAACTTTAGCCTAGAATTTTATAATTTGCATTCCTTTAACTTCCAGATAACCACATCATGACTGGAAGTATCATTGTTAATTATTCCTTCTTCCATTTCAGAAACCCCTGGCCATGCGTATTAGAATGGTTTACAAAGTTGACAACCAAGAGAAGTTGGAACAAGGACAGATTAACAATTTCCCTCCCGGTTTATGAGTCTTTAAACTGCTTTTCCACAAGAATTTACCCTCTTCTTCTGCAGAAAGAGTGCTATCTTGTTCTCTCTTTGTGTGTTCTTAAACAATTAAGGGAAATTTTTTTTGATAATTGATTTAGTGTTATGTATAGTTTATCGGCTATCAAATAACAATGTCCAGTTCCACTCTTTCAGCCTGTGAGCACCAAGCATTTAGATTGGAGGTGTGCGGAAATTATTCATTCTTGCTAGTAGGGAAGAGGTCACAATGAAACTTGATCTAGGGGTTGTATAAATGTTTGTCAGAGCTATCTATTTTTAGCCATATGGTGTTGTTCATTGTATGTACTGTGATAAGTATGAGGCATGTGGATAGATTTTAGCTTGATTTTGCTAAATGTGCAGAACATGCGATAAACCATTCTTGACTTTGAGGTATATTATGTTCTAGTGTAGTGGATCTTAAAAGTAGAATGAATACACAAGGTTAGCCTTTTTTGGTGAAAGGTAGTGTCGACTACTGTCAGTTGAGGATAATTGTCTCTTTGTTTACTTGCTTGTGATATGTCTTGTTTGTTGTGAATCCAACTTGGGTTTACATCAATGCCGTTTATGAGTTGGGAGTGAAATTGCCAAACGATCTAGGTTAACATTAGACCTTTCCAAAATAAATAATAGTTAATAAAATTAATTAAATTAATATATATATATATATTCATTTAAACTAATATTAGTATAAATAATTATATAAAATTTAAACTTCAAATTTAAAATAATATACTATAAAAATATGATAAAAATAAAATAAAATCATATTATGGAGAAGTTGTTATATATAATAACATTATTTCTATATTTAAATAAATATAAATAAATTATTAAATAAAAAGTACATGTTAAATATTGATTCTTTTTTTTTTTTTCAAATTGTCAGGAAACATTGCAAATGATCTAAAAAGGTTTAAATGATTTTTTTTACTTTAAAGCTTTAAAATAGGTATATTTATTGATTTTAGCCATTAAATAATCATTATACTTAAGGAACGAATGTGTTTAATAACATATCATCATCTTAGTTACAATCATATTCAGCAAGTATTTGTTTAATATTATCATATAAATAAAGGAAGAAAAAAAAAAGAAGGACGAATAGATTAGCATTTAAAGAAAGAAAAACACGAAAGATGGAGGACAAAAAAATAAATGAAAAGAAGAAAAAAAATGATAGAGGTCTTAATGGAGCTCAGCACCATCCACTTATACACTGTAGACCCAATTTCCTTAGTGATGTTAAACCACTAGAACCAAATCAAACCAAACCAATAGTGAACCCTTAATGGTCCAAAAGTCATTGTCTAGGTGGAAAAATAAATCCTAAGTTATGTAAGGGTAAAAAGATAAAGTTGGCCACTATCTATATGTGGGAATGTTTGGAGATAAGGACGCTTAGCGAGAATTTTTAGAAATTTTTTTAAAATTTGTCCAAAAATTAAACACCTCTTTTTTCTTTTTCTTTTTCTTTTTTTTATATAAATATTTTGCCATTCCTCTTCCAGCCTCCGTCCAACACAGATTCTTTTTGGCAATGAAAGGAAACATGGCCCATTCTACCTCTTTTGGTACAAACATAACACACTGTCTCTCTTGATCAAGATGCCTTGCTGCGGCACATATCCTTAAACATAGACTAACCTTGGAGCTTTATATCTTGTGGCATAACTTGTTCACCACATTTCCTCCGCCAAGCCACAAAAGTTGCTGTCTCCTACTCTGCATGTGTGGACCGGAGGGGCACCGAGATTGCACGCTGCTGCGTCAAGGGGTTTGACACAACAGCAATCTAGCTGACTCTGCATGCAAGTGATTCCAAATGTTTCCAGGTGATTTGTAGTTCAAGCACTTGCTGTTTCTGATCACAGGACTTACAGTGACAGCATTCTTGACAGTAGCAGCTCACCACAAAAGCAGTGAAGCTGAGTCCAGCTTTGGTCGCATCATCATCTTAAAGTTCATTTGTCCTCTGGTGGCCCACCATCCATGAATGAGAAATGTTCTTGTTCATGCGCCTTGATCCTTTTTGCTGCCATTTTCATGTGGGATGCTTCACCAGGACACTGCCTCGGTGCCTCTTTATGCTCTCATCCGGCAGATTGCTTGCTCTGAGGTCAAGTCAAACTTCCAGCGCCAGTGCAAGTTTGTCTTTTTACCATCCTCGGCCTATTAGGTCATTTTCATTCTTCGCATATATATAATCATATAAAAAGAATACATGAAATAGGCAGATCACAGTATTATCCTTAGGCAATAGACAAGTTAATGCTTAAGCATACTTAGTTAGATATCCCAATCCAATCCAATCTGAATTTGTATTCGGATGATACCCAAATCCGAATGACCCAATCCAACATTATTTGGATTTTTGAGTCCGGATTCAGATGAACAAATAGATGTTTAGTGGTACAACCAAATAGATGTTGCTAATTATCACATTCACTTGATGAAGTATTGAAAGGGTTTTTCTCTCTCATAATAAAAGGAGGAGAAAGAAAATTAGAATCCCACATCATGCTAATTCTCATTTGAGGTGTCTAGTGTTTTCCAATCCTGTGACTGCAATCAGAATCTAAAACTGTACTAGTTTAATAGGCTCCTCCAAAAAGTATTGTCAAAAATAATCTCTTTGTTCAAAGTGTACACCACATAATTTTCCTCTTTGTTTCATTATGGAAAGGGTATTTAAACATGAAAACAAGACAAAAGACAAGCTAATATACCTGCCACTCCCATTAATATAAGTAAATACTCTAATATAAAAAAAGTTTCACCAACTCCTAGAATTATCTCATTCCCTGTACCTGTTCATGGAAGGCCTTGGGTTCCATGAACAATCAATTGGCACTCATGGTGCAGACAACCATAAGAACAAAATGACACAACTTTATGTGGAAACCAGTAAATTTATTCTACAGTGACAAATGTAGCCCAAGGCTAATATTTGATAGGCATATATTATAGTTACTGAATGTTAGTGCTTCTGAAAAGGCAAGCATTGAGCTGAAAACTGTGACAACTTTCTGTGTTGTTTGCCCACTTTTTTTTGTTCTCGAGATCATGGAAAAGAAAAGCTGAAGATTCTGCAAAATGAGAAAAGAGGGAGGTGAAATGAGTAAAAGGAAATGAGATAGAAAGAAGATTCCTCAAAGTATTGACTTTAACAAAAGATAAGAAGATGAAGGCAGCGGAGAGGTGGAGAGTTGTGCGCAGTTTACTTTCGAGCACCGAGGGCCACTGGAGAATCTGGAAAGAGATGGCAAAGTAGAGCTCCAGTGGCAGACTAGAAAAATGCAAGTGGTCTCAATAGTCTTTCTTCCATGCTTTGTTGGTTGAAACGATGGCCATATGGTGGAAGCCGAGACTATGGCGCAAGTGGGGCATACTTCAAGCTCAGGAACTTGAAGGTCATGAATGAAAAGAAGACTTGCCACCAAACTTCCCTGCCTCTTTCCCAAATCTTGTGTGCAACTCTTACATGGAAAAGAACAACTTTCCGAATGGATCATCTGGACTTGATCACGTAAGAAGCACCAACTAGTTGTCTGTAGGTGAATCATTGCCTCCTTTTCAAATCCCACTCGAGTCCCACAAAGTTGTCATGACCAAATCAATGCAAGTTGGATGGTCCTCGATTTGCACCCAAGTCTGCATCCTACATGACATTTAATGCTTCGAGTTGATTTGTTTCCTGGCCTTAAGATGTGTATTTGTTGAGTTACTTTTCTCTGTCCTGTCGAGAAACAATGCCTTGTGAGTTTCTAATAATCCAAGTTAAAAGCTTATTGAGTCTTCATCCTTATTCACCAGCTGTTACTGCTAATCATCTCTTTTCCAGTTCTTGTGGATTGAACTTTGACCTTTTGTCACCTTGTTTTCCATCTGAGAAGTTAGATTCGAGTCCTCATGGTGTCATTGATGTTATCAGCTAAATCTTCAAGAACTAGCAGTATACTTCAGACAGGACAACTGCTTCAAGCCAAGAGCTTCATATCTCACCTTACTTTTCAGATCAAGTGATTTCATCACAAGAATCCACAGTCAAGCTTTTGGGAGGTTTCCCAGTCTGCTTATTCAACAGGAAAAACAACAAACACAAGACCATTGTAGGCTTCAGCTGATTCAAGGTACAAGTACAGAAGCTTTGTGCTGTCACACCAGCACCCAAGAGGCATCTCAAACAGCAGCAGCAGCAGCAGCAACAACAACAACAGAGAAAGGCTATAAAGCTATAAAGAGGCATTACATTAATCTTTTTTCTGAGGGAATCAAGGATTATATTAATCAAATTTTCAGGAATGCAATCCCAAGCAAAAATCACCAACCAGGATGTGGATGAGAAAAAATAATGCTGGACTTGGATCATGGCTGGAGTGCTTGATGTAAAGGCAAAACGAAAACAGAGTTCAAGGCATGTAAATTTTGGAATGTCTCTTAAAACATTCAAAGGATAGGTTTATTCACTAATGATTGTCACAACATATTACCACTAAGATTCATTGCCAGCTCCAAAAAGGATTGAAAAGTAGCAAGTTTCACTATGTTAATCTACTCATAACCATCTAAGATTCATCAACTAGCTGCTAAAATTATCATTTTTTCTTGAGGATTGCTGAAACCACATTGGGAAAACAAGTATCAGATGAGATGAAAGGTAAGCAAAACAAAAGAGAATTGTGAATCGAATCAGCCATCACAGATGAAGAACAACATACAAGGCATTGTAGTAACATCACATTCGTGTATCCCCAACATTTCTTCTAATCCATGACAAGTCCCCATCAGGAGAAGTAATACCTGATGACACTGGGAATTTTCCCTTCTTGTTAGACCACTGCCAGATCTTTGACACAGAGAAGCTCTCACCTCTGCTCCCAATTCCCAGTTTCTTCCCCTCCATAACCTCAGTGCTTGCAGACTGCTCGTTGATTCGCCTTCCCCTGCCTCCCTTTGCATCACCATTCTTGATACGACCACTGGGGAGAGTAACTTGGAGACTGGAATCAGCAAGAACGTACTGATAAGAGCCCATGGAGAAGCACCTCCTTGCATCCAAGTTGTTGCTGCTAGTTTCTCCTTCCTCCATTCTCACAGCACCATCAGCAATGCCACTTCCACCATCATTCCCAGCTCCTCTGGTGCACAAGTTCTTGTATTTGCCAAGCCTCACTGAGAACACCCTCTTCTCGGTGACCATTTCATCACCTTCTGCCTCCTGCTCCATAGGGAATCCATCCTCTTCTCTCGGGTCGTCGAAGTCGAAGACCGGATTCTCGATCGTGAAGCCCGGCACAAAGAGCGCCCCCCGGCACAGCGGACAGGTGGAATTGGAGAGGAGCCATGTGTCGATGCAGTTGATGTGGAAAGCGTGGCCGCACACCGGCAGAAGCCGAAGCTGGTCTTCTTGGGCGAACTCACACAGGCAGACCGCGCAATCGAATGGCTCCTTGGAGCCGACGATCTCCTTGTAGAGGAAGACGGGCAGCGCGTCGATGAAGGCCTGATCGAGGCCCGAGTCGTGGAGGTGGAACAGCTGCTGGAGCTGGCGCTGGAGCGCGTCGGAGCCGGCGAGCTCGCCGGCCTGTGGCCGCTCCGGATGGGATGAGGTGGTGGAAAAAGGGTGCTTTTTGATGAGGAATCTAACCAAGAGGTGGAGGAGGCCGGAAATGAAGAAGACCACCGCAAGGATGACTATGATGAACAGGACTGCGGGGCTAATCCTACTGCCCGGTGAAGGTGATGCGGGTGGGGGTGGGGGTTGGGATGACGGCCATGGAAGTGAATCCTTCAGAAAGGCATCAAATTGAGAAGACTGGCTGGTGATGGAGAACCCCATCATCAACCTTGGGTTGAGGGAGGAGCCAAGGAGCTCTAATGGATTTGTAGGGTGTGGCAACCATCTCCTTCCTTGATCTGAGACCAACCACAAGTCATCTCAAGAACCAGGGAGCTGACAACTCGCTTCTTCCTAGCATCCAAATCTAGCTCAGATCACAGGGGAAGGAGCAGCACAAACACAAAATTGCACTAGTCAAAGAGGACACAGGCCAAGAACAGTTCATGAAAGGCTGAGATGCTTGCAATCTTGTGAGATCAAGTGCGATCACCCATGTGAACCTTGGTGACTACTACTTCAGGAGGGCTTCAAGATCCTGGGGAAAGATAGGAAAGGACTTGATCTTTAGCTGTGAGGGAAATGGGGGGTTACCTCAAGTTTGGCCTGTACTGCTGCATCAGAGAGTGGAAGTCCTCAGATTTGCTTGGCGGGGGTGGTAGAGACTGGTCTCTGCTTCCCTTGTTAGCATGAGGTCTTCGTCTTTTGGGTTCAGAGACGCGGCCTTCAGTAGCAAGACCAGTCTCTTCTGGGAATTTGCGCAGTTCAGTCTCTGGTGATAGGCTGGAAGCACAGCTTATTGGCAGAGGAATAATTATGATCTAAAAAATACATTGAAAAGAGAGAGGAGTTCATTATGTTGAAAACAGAGATGAGTTAATTATGATCCAAAAAATATATTGAAAACAGAAAGAGGAGTTTGGTAGGGTGGTGGCAGCACTGCAAGCCCAAACAAAGGCTGGGATGGGGAACAGCAGCAGCTTATCATTGTTATCCTCCTTTGATAAAAATATATGGTGATGTTGAATGGAAACCCTAAGTTGGCTAATTTCCATAACATGGGACTCTGAACATGTTTTTTATTTTAGTTCTAATGGTTTATGTGTTACAAGTTGATCACATGCATAACCAAACCTAAACTCAAACCCCAATAGTATCGTACTGATTTCCTACACATAAGTGGTAAAGAAAATGCATCATGTTAACTTAAAAAGGTTATGATGGTTTGAGGAAGTTTGACAAACAAAACATACAACAACAATAGATTTTAATCTGTCAAACAATTAAGCCTGCAGCATTCAGTGAAGGATCTATCTTGGTCTTGTTTTCCTTAATCTTCTTTCCCCCCATGGTGTTGATCATTGTTTGCATTGCCGTCATTAAAGCTGTGTGATGCAAGGATCCATGTTGTTGTTCATCAAGATGCTGGGGGACTAGAGAGTTCCATCTGCATGAAGCTCCTTGTGCATGAATGCCAGGCCCTCATCAACTCCTGCAGCTACTCGTATTCTGCAATTCCAGTCAAAGTATGATCAGCTAATACATTCGACACACAACAAGAACTCATTGCAACACCAGCAGCTGATGCATTCTTCTCATCATCGATCTCTCTCATTGTTAGTCTTCTTCCTTTAGATCATTCATTACCTTGTTAAGTGGTTTTCCACACAAGTCTTCCAGTCTTCTTGCATGTATAGGATTTCTTCTCGTGTAACACAAATGACTATTCCTGTGGAATCTGAAAAGAAAGAGAAAATGGAAGTGAGACTGTGGTTGCTAAAGTTCTGTAAGATCTGAAAAGAATGAGAGTTGCAGGAGGAAATGATTTTAAATAATGCTTTTAAGAAACTGCAAACTTGTTCACACAAGACTGTCTATAATCCCTGCATGCAACATGTTTTGGCATCAATGGTAAGTAGAAGATTAACTGCTCCATATCCGTCACATTTCTTCATGTGTAAAGAATTTGTCCTGGTGATAGGCATCAACCGGTAGAAGTTAAAAGGAAGAGGAAATGTTTAAAGGTAGGCAGCGTACCAGAAATCCAGACCATAGTCTATAAGATATAGGTCCCAAGGTGCTCCTCAACATGTAGCACACGAGCATGCCCAGTCCAAATCATGAGCATGCTTGAAACACGGCTTCAATCATGTGGCTCCTCAGAAAAGCTGTGATGATGCAATTAAGTATTTCAACCACCAAAAACAATCCGGTCAATAAAGACAATGGAAGCAGCTTCACCATCGATGACAGGATGGCAATGATGAACAGCTATTAAAAGAGGATAAAAGCATGTTACAAGTCAATGGAAATGCAGATATAATTACTACAACAAAGTAAAAAAGAAAGTGAAAAGTCCAGAGGCCAGAGGAAAGCACATCATGGAAATTTTCTGTTTCCAGTACAAAAAGAAATATTACACTCCAAGGTTGGGTCATCAAAGAATCACTAGAAAGAGCTGACCAATTCAACAACCATGCAGTAGAATTATCTTTTTCTTATAAACATATATGACTTTTGGAAAAGAATTCTGCCCTACAAAGCAACAAGGAGCTTGGCCTTCCTAAAGCATAATATTTACAGCAAAATTGGAAAAGGATGGCTCCCTATGTACAGTAGTAGTTACATTGTTTAGTCTCAGTAAGTACATAATGCAATGGTGAAAATCCCCATCTGGATCCAGTAAGAAGAGGGATAAAAGAATAAACGCAATTCCTAATTTTTCTCATCCCCAGTCAAAAGAATCTGAAACTTCCTGAATTTGCAATACTCCATTGCTACACTTCTAAAGTTGCCTTTTCTCCCGTTGTGAAAATCAATTTGCTTCTGGAAAAATTATAAGCGCGAGTTTCATGGGTTAAGACACTCCTTTGCTTCACAATCATGGTCATAGTAGCCTGTAGCATCCGTAAGTTAAAAAACCCCATTGCTACCCTAACTTCTCCGGTTGCCTTCTCTGCTGTTGTGAGAAACAATTTGCTTCGAAAATATCACAGGGGAATGGTATCCAACAGGAATTTTATGCGCTAAGAGATTCTATTGTTTCATGGTTATGGTGAAAATAATCTCAAGCTTCCTAAGTGGCAAAAATTTATTGCCATCGTAACTTCTCCAGTTGCCGTCCCTCCAGTAGTGAGTTTGACTCCAAAATATCACAGGTGAATTGTATCCAGCAGGAATTTTATGTGCTCAGACATTCCATAGCTTAATAATCAGAAGCTTCCTGAAGTTGCAAAACTCCATTACATAACTTCTCCAGTTGCCTTCTCTCCAGCTGAAAGAAACAATTGGTTCCAAAATTACCACAACCGATTGGTATCCAGCAAGAATTTTGTGTTACAACACTCCATTGCTTCATGGTTATGATCAAAACAATATGAAGCTTCCTGAAGTTGCTAAACTCAGTTGCTACCTTAACTTCTCCAGTTGTAAGAACAATTTGACTCCAAAATATCATGAGTGAGTGGTATCCAGCAGGATTTTTATGCGCTAAGACATTCCATTGCTTAATAATCCAAAGCTTCTTGAAATTGCAAACTCCAATACTACCTTAACTTCTCCAGTTGCCTTCCTTCCAATGGTAAGAAACAATTTGCTTCCAAAAAAGATCACAAGCGAATATCCAGCAGGAATTTTATGTGCTATGACACTCCATTGCTTCATGATTGTTCTTCTTTCACACTGAATTTTTTTCTCTTTTTTTTGTCTAATTTTAACTATAGAATGACAAAAGCTGATGATCTTCAATAACATCTTGTAAGGCCAAGCTATCAATTAATTATCACATAGTTGGGTAAATCAAAGAGAAGAAAGCCATTCTTCTATGTACTTCTTGCCATCTGCACCAATAAAATTTTAAATGATATTAGAATAGTCGTTCAATGACATGAACTGTTTACAATAGAATTTCACATGTATGCTTAAATAATGAAAAGATAGACAGAAATTGCTGCCAGGAAAGAAGATTTCGGTAACTAAAAAAAAGCAGAATCTAACAAAATCTAATTACATTCAAGCTTTTTATACGAGAACAAATGGAAAATGAAAATTCTAATTACTGAGCTTCCCAGCAGGGTCCTAGGCATTTAGAAGAATCAACCTTTTTATATGACGACCAAAAGAAAAAGGTATAACCAGGGAAAAAAGACCAAAACAAGGCAAGATCTTAGAAAGCACATAACATATGAAACAACTAAAGTGAAAGACCTCAAGGCATTTGACCAAAATAAGTAGCACCAACAACCTAATCAAGGTATATACGCCTTTTGGCCCTCAATGACAGTGGAATCATCTGAATGCAAATTACTCAGCCGAATAGAGCTATGAAAAATGGAATCAATGCCAAATATGGCATTTTCAGGTAGAACAGCTCAGCGCATGCATATTTACTTGCCTAAAGAAGCAAAAAATAAACTATAGAAGGAAATATTTCAAAAAAGTCCAGTAAAATAAATCAACAATGTCCTTGTCCTGCATCTCCTGGTCTTGTATCTCATGTAAACTTGATATTGTCTTAATGACCTTAGATTTGGCTTTTAGGAGTCCATTAATTAACTAGTGCACTTTGAAGGCACTGGCTAGGTAAAGCCTTTGACGGCCTGAGCTCCAATCCCCTCATCACCACTTAAGCTTTTGTGAAAAAGGAAAAGAAAGAAATAAATCTAGTGTACCTTGACAATACACAACTTGTCTAACAAGGAAGCATGAAACCATCATTAACAATGCAACAACATAAACTTAAACAAATCTAGCACTAAGTTTAGAAGATTAAATAATGCATGTAAGGAGACTCATATCTCGAACTACAAGATATCGGTAATAGTTAACTGATAGTTTGTGCAACATGTAGAACCACCATATCTCACCAGAGAGATCATCGTCCAAACGATCAACTGCTCCCAAGACATGGGTTTTGGAGCTCTCCACCTGCTCACAACGACCACGCCCATAGCACGGGACCAAGACAGCGAAGCTGCTGTTCTCGGTCTCACTGTCACTCTGGAACTCAGGCGCATGAGGCTCTAACCACCCAATCGACCAATCGGAATCTGACGATTCCGACCCCGACATGCACCCACCGTCCGAGGGCACAAGGACGATGTCATACTCCTTATCGATCCGCCGCTCTTCCCGGCTCTGCCACTTCTTCTTAATTCTTCTCGAATTCGACCTTATCCTAGGCCCACTAACTGGCGGAAACTTCAAGTAATCTGGCTCTCTAAACCCCGACGAGAGATCAGGAGAAGCACTCAGGGAATTCGGGGATTCATAATCTTTCCCACCCCAGATCCAGCCAGAGAAACGAGTGAAAGCCACTGCCATTTTCTCCACAAAAAACCCGTATCTTGATCCAATCACCCCACCAAATTCGCCATCTGATCTGATGTTATGAAGATTATCGAGAAGAAAACAGATGTCTTGCAATCTTCAAAAAATAATAAAGAAGAATCAACTCAACACACTAATCCGCCCCAAAAAAATCAAAATTTCACATAAACAGAACAAAATCACCTCCATTCTAACAAAAAAATTACACCTCGAGTTAAAAAATTATCAGCAAAGTCCCATTTTTCTCTCGAAAATCGACCACGAAATTGGAGATCTCCCAAACAACACCAGTCAAAATAAGCATAACTATCAATCATAAAAGATCTCCGAAATAGCGCCAGAACTAAAATCCCTTGAAGAACTGTCGCCCAATGAAAGCTCTTTCCAAGAACACATAAAACACCGCAATAGATGAGTCTTCGAGAAGAGATCCAGATCAACAAAACAAGCTGCTTCCTAACGATCTAAATCCCAATCCGACAAGATCGGAGCCGACGTGATGATCGGATGCGGCGGCCCTCAGGCCATCGGCGGCCGCGCCGTCCTTTCAGTCAGAGATCGCCGGCTCGAGGCCGGACGTGATGATGAGAGAGAAGGAAAGAGTAAAGTGGGGGCAGACGTAAGGCTGAGAGACACCAGCAGTGGAGAGGATGTGCAGGCCGTCGTCGTCTTCTTCGGCTATTTATAGCCATTCGATATGCTGCTTCGGGTTTCGCGAATAGCGATGGACGGACTAGATCCTCCAGAACACTCCCGTTCGATGATCTAGGCCGTCTGATGAGGGGCCCCAGATCGCACCACTAGCGACACCTTTACGCGAGTGGACGACATCGTCTTCCGGGATCTGCGCATAGATGATCGAATACGACGCGTTTACAACCGTAGATTTATAAGATCAACGATAGATCGTAGGCAGTAAGGTCGCAAGCGTCAAAAAAGGTGGGACCCACAAGCGGGCCAAGTCTTCTATGCAGTCACGCTTAGGTTTTTGTGTGGAGAAATTGCCACGTCACTGACGCGCCCAAACATAATCCAAGGATATAATATATATATATATATATATATATATATATATATATATATATATATATATATATATATATATATATATATATATATCCTGTCCTTGTATTTACTCATCTAAACTTAAGCTTAACGTAAATTACATAATTTTTACAAAGATGAAAACGTGGAGTGAAAAGAAAAAGAAATAAAATAATTCATGAGAATAATAAATGTTTTTTAGGTGTTCAATATTTTTACAAAATGATAAAAACTCAAATTCATAATGATAACCATGGTTTGTATTTAATTTTATTTGGATGGATACTAATGAGAGTGATACTTGTGAGACATAAATATGTAATACTATTTCAACTGATTAATGTATTATTTATCATTATTATTTTTTCATAAGGGTAATTAATATAAGACGAAAACAGAAATCATTAGCTTATTATCTACCATTAAGATTTTGTCATCATTAGAAAACCATGATTAGAAAAAAGCATTCATGCACCATTCTGTTCTTTAGCTTTTGTCTTTTCAGCAACTTGGCCTGCATTTATTATAAGTAGTGACAGTATAATAATAATAATAATAATAATAATAAAACTGCATTCACAGCATTTGCGAATGAGGTTTCCTTTCATTTTTATCACAAATTTTATTTAGGCTAAGTGGTGAAGACTGGAATGAAAAAGTATAGAACTCAAAGCCAAAACAGGATGAGAAAAAAAAAGCAACTTGTACTTGACACCTCCCACTGATTTTTATTTTATTTTATTTTCCTGTTTTAAGCAGGAGTATTACTGTAGCTTTCATGAGTTGTAGCGGTGATCAACAAGTATATAGCTTGTTTGCAAGTTCATATGCAAACTTACTGCAAGAACAGCATGAGAAAAATATAATGTAGATTTCATGAGTTATGCTGCATGCTGTTACTTGTAAGATTCAGCATCATCTTTGAAGGGGCTATTGGAGAAGTTGAAGTACAGATTTGTGGAGTGCAGCAGTCTGAAAGTTTTGTTCATGTTGCCTACTGAGTGAATGAAAGAGAAATGAGGATTTGCTTCCTATTTATTTGATGTGGTAGTTTCTTATCACCAGAGTGTAAGGGTGAAACAGAGTGTAGGACTTATCACAGGGTGGATATCTGTAGATTGCTGCAACTTGCATGAACTCTTCAACCCATATCTTCTTCTCCTATGTGAAAGATCTGTGTCTGGCCCACCAAGCACCCTTCCCACAAGTTGCATGATGAATCAGTCCCTTCCCCTCTATGTCACCATCGTTGAAAGGAGACCACAAAGAGAGACCAAACACCTATGTGTGGTTTCTAGCTAGTCTGTATGTCATCTTCCAAACAATGAATAGATGGCCAACTTTACCTCTTCCACTTGGCAAGATAATTATCAACCCAAATGGAGAATTAGAATATTAAGTAGCTGAATACAATCATTGCAGCAACAGTAATCTCATCCGATGTCGACATTTTTCGGCTTGTTTTTGGAGTATTTGGATGGCCATTGACCCTCTCTCTTGGTCAAGAAGAAAATGAAATCTGAAAGGCTTCACCCTGGAATTTTGATGGCACAAAATGCAGCCGAGAGATTCCACCAACCACAACCAGTACTTTAGTGATTATAGTGTAATCATGTGTCCATGCCTTGTCACTTTGTTCTTTAGTTCAAGCCTACAAAAAATTTCTTGAGAGAGAAAGATTATATATAAAAATAAGTGGATGGGAAATGAATTCATGGTAATTGTGGGAACTAATTGATACAAGATAGAAAAATTCATGGAATTATTTGTGAAGGTGCATGTCCCTATCAAATGACAGAAGCTGAACACAGAAAGAGTTCTGAGACAACTTCAAGATCCAAATAATGATGAAAGCAAGGCAGGCTTGTTTGCAACTTGTTTTGCAATTGGATTTCAGGATCAGCAAACCAGTTTGAGCAATCAAGACAGCTCAACAACCTAAGCCTGAATGAATTTAGATCAGGTGACGGATCTGTAGACTTTTTCTGGATCAATCATACTGAAGAGATCAAACAGAAAAATTCACACAACTAAAGTGGTCTTGATAATATGAATCATTAAAATAAGTTGAACTTTCTTGCATATCTCTTACTACATATCATCACTGACATATGTGCTACATCTCAGGTTCAACTAATGCATTGATCATGGAATCTGAAGTCAAATATCCTGTTCATGTGGCATGACAAAGCAAGTTTTGGAGCTACTCCAGTTAATTTTGTCTATAAATCATCTTCAGGTTGGTCTGATGTAATCAAAATAAGCCCCATGCATAGATGTCTGAAATAATCTATTTGGAGGCTGAGACACACATGATGGTGGTTGTTTCTCCTCAATCAATCTGCCTAGATCTTAAACAATGATGTGTGGTTCCATTACTGAGTTAAATAAAATAGCTAGAGCTCTCAATCTCTCTCTTATCTTAATGAACTATAATTGAAGCACCATCAAAAAGTTGATTGTCATCAAATGCCGCGGAAACACCAACCTAAAGTTGAACATGACACCTCCTCTGAGGAGATCAAAGAAGTGCCATCCAGCAATGAGTTACAAAGTAGAATCATACTGCAGATTTATGTGCCCAAGCACTTATTTCAGTTCATGGTGGAACTTTATATTGATCTTGAAATAATCAAGTCCATGAGCATTAAGAATATGTTTTCTTAACTTGAAATTATCCTAATTACTCTATTATATTCTTGAAGTGTCTGATGGTGTTCCTGAACAAATTTGTAGATCATTTGAGTATGAACAAATTCAATGCAAAATAGTTATATCTACTTCGAGATTCCTGCAACACATTCCAATGGGAAATTTTTACTTTGGAAACTACTACAGTTCCTGGAGACAACTATGGCCCTGCCATGCAGATGTCTTGCAATTTATGTATTAATTCCCTCAATCTTATCTCATCATAGCACTAATAAGCAGCAATCAAATACCAAAGTTAAAAATGTTTCCAATTACCTATATGTATATATATACATCTATATATACATATACATATATATATGTATATGTATATGTATATATGTATATATATGTAT